TGCTGCGTCGCAGCTATGACGACTGAATGCTGGCCGGAGAGGGGGTCCTCGCCGCAGGAAGCCTGTTTCAATTTGTTCCCTCTTCTGACTAGACCCAAACGAAAAAAGAACTCGCCCAGACACGGTCAGTCTTTCCTCTTGGTATCCCTTTGAAGCAAGCCCAGGAGAGTACCCTCAACCTTAGTCTGACCCACCCACAACTTGAAAGCCTTGCTCCCCCTAAACAGGCTTTGATTGGCCATAAGTTGAGGTGTTGGTTTCTAGAAGCTCCCAAAGCTATTCTTCAAGAAAGGTCCTGCCTCTGCTTTCACTGCGAAACAAATCTTCGAACTATCACAAAGTGAAAACCATCCCCTCCTCAAGAGATGTCCAACACAAAGCCATCGATTGGAACAACTTTCAGCTATGCCGTTTAAAGCAAACGTGCTGGTAAAGTGCTGCCAACGCAACTCTGCCGGGTGTTGCGTGGAAGGTCTGGAAAAACAAACCACTAGCACCCAGTCTGGATCCTTGTACTGCACCTCAAAGTCCAGCACGCGCGGCGGGAAGAGTGTCATCTGAGCTCAGTTGAGTGGCCGAAATCCCGTGGCGCTCAGTGAAACCACAAATCTGAACCATAACGCAGACAACACAGCTCATACCCGGAAAGGAAAATACCGGCCCCACAAGCTCATCAGCAAAGTTCACTTGTCACAAAGAAGTTCACAGCTATCACAACAGAATGCATCACACCCAGCCCAAAAAACATTGACAACGCTCGCACCTGGCAAGAAGTGCAACAAATAGTCAACAACATAAAGTTATAAGCACACAAACACACCAATCGACCAGAACAACACAACACACTCAAACAAAGAGATCTCACCCTAAACCCAAGACGCATTGCGCGCGTACCTCAAAAAGATCTGCGCGTGGGACACTTCGGGCTGCCAGGTGTCCAGTTGCAGCATGGCTGTGGGCAGCTTGCCGCACAAGCCCAACCTGGGCCGACGAATGGAGGAAGCTCTTCAGTTGCATTTAGCAGCCCTCAAGAAGGTGGTTGGTTAGATACCACCACATGGACCCTCTCCAGCAGCGAACTTTCCACCCTCGCACAAAGAATCACCGCCAGACACTCCTCGATGTCCTTTGGTTAGTTTGAGCCTCCAGGAGGAAACCATTGCAACTTTTCAAGGGGAACCCAAGCATTTTTCCACGGCATAATTTTTCAAAGTTGGTAGACTTCTGCGGCGCCCGCAATGCCTTCCAAAAAGGCCACTTTGGGCACACAGAAAGTTCGAGTTGTTGAGCCGCAGGTTTGCTAAGCAAACGCCCTGCTTGCCATGGACAATCAACAGCTACACAACTGAAACTCGGCAAGTTCGAGGTGCGTTTTTGCGCACGCCCTAAAAAGACCGAAAAGTACTAGGCGCTGCCCGTGACCTCAAACATGCGGAAAACGTAGCAAAAACGCGCGGTTGGCACTGCTGGGTAGCCACCAATGTGCTCGAGTTGCATCTGCGTCGCGGAGTGTTTGGAAACAACTTTCAAGCCAAGAAGCATATCCCAGGGCCCTAAAAGCCTTAAACCCAGGCCAAAAATCCGGAAGACCCTAAAGCCTGGCCATTTCAGCAACCCTCTCAAAGTGTCCATATATGGGCCGTGCAGGGAAAGGTCACAATTCCGACTGTGCAAAAAAGTCCACAAGGCTCCAAAGCACAGTGGCAAGGATGCAAACCAGGGCAGTTCTTACGCCAACCAACCAACCTTGGCAATGAACAGGGACATCCACTACTCGGCATAGACGTGTGCGACATGTGAGTTATTGCGGTCCCTTCGACACCTCTCATTTCCAGCGCCTTGAGGGTGGGGGGACTTTTAGCAAAACCGAATTGCTAAATCCAAGGTCGGTTTACTGGCATCGCCGGGTTTCGCGGAAGAAGCGGAGTTTCAAGCGGCTCAGTTGCTCTCGGCGGCAAGCGCCTGGGCTTTTCTTTTTGTTTGCATTCCACGGAAAGGCTGTGATCATGTTGGTTGGTCTTTGCCATTGATGTGGATGGGAGGGAAGCAGTGTGGCTTTTCGCACACCTGTCCAGGAGTGTGGCATCTTTTCGGAACGAGTTGTCCACGCTGCAGGCGCCGAAGAGTCTAAGAGTTGTTCCTCATTGTGATTCCAGCATGTTTGTTGTAACTTGTTCTTGAATTCCTTAAGCTGAAACTATGCCTTCATGGCCTTCATGGTTTCTGGTATCCCATATTTTGTTTTTCAACCACAGCCTTTGCAGTGGGCGTACGTTTGGCGTAGGATTCATTCTTGCGCCTGATGTCTTTGCTGTCTTGTCATGCTTGCTTCTTGCAGTGCCTGAATATATACCGATATATACAGCGCTTTGCGTGTTGCATTCCGCAAGATCTCGAACTTGGAAGTGAAAGACGTGAACTCGCTGCCTTCTAGGCGATGGTTGAAGACGCTGGTGTAAAGGTGTAGGAAGAAATTGTCACAGCCCCGAGCGCTGACGCAGGAAAGTGAGAAAACACTCAACTCCGATTCTCATTGTTCAAGAAGCTCCTGATAAGAGAGTGGGCCTCCTGGCACCCTTCTTTTCACCAGATCTTCATACCGGAGCTAACTAAATGGCGCTCAAAGCTAAGCCGTGATCTCTCGACCGGGTCTGACAGCGAAGGCCCGCAATTTCCCACATGACTATACTACACAGTAAAACACAGCTTCCACCACTCGCCTCAACCGCCCGACGCCCGCGCCTCCAGCTCCAGCCCTGCTGGGTGCAAGGCATGGGAGGGCCGTCAAGCAAGAAACGCGCATCCGGTGGCAGCAGGAGACCTGAGGAGGCCACCCACTTTCTTCTTTCCCCAAAGCGCCCTGCGTTTTTGAAGCTCGAATAGGGGTTTTCCAAAACATAAGCTGAGGCGGTGGCTGAAGGTTCACCATGTAAGCTTCAAGGGGCCAACTTCATTCGTGCTAGTTCCCACCTCAAACTCACATAGAACCATGTAAGGAAGTTCGCCAACCCACTTGGACGTGGACCATGTCGAGGCTGAATTCACGCCCTGGGTTGAGACATGGTAAGTTTTTGGTGTGATACGATTCACGCCCTGGGGCCACCCGCTTGGAAAACAAAATCAACGCCCGCTTGCTCCCACAAACGTATTGCCTTCTTCCAAAAAAATATCCTGTCTCAGCGGGTGTGTTCCATCATCCTGCTTGGGGGTCGCTATCTACTTCTCCCAAGTGTCGTGAGTCTTCAGAGCTTGGTGCACCTATGCCTATGACTGTTGCCCTCGACAGCTTGGTGGTTTGGCGGTGGCTGAAAACCACTAAGGAGGGGTGATGTGTGGACACGGATGGACATTATGCAGGGTTGCTGGACTCTCAACTGTCCAATTTGGCTTCAGGAGCAACTGGGCCATCAACCCGGGCCATCCGGAACACATTGGCGGCGCTGGTGATGTTGACCATAGGTTGTTCAAACATCAGCGGGGGCAGACGCAACACTACATCTGGTAGGTTATCCGTTCAAACTCAAAGCTGAATACCACTGTTCCCCAAGCCTAGGGTCCAAAGATGTTCTGCCACTACCATTTCATTAGGCGAATGTTCAGCCAGACCATGGGAAACCAAAAGCACAAACACAACGGATGAACAAACTAATATATCATTAACTCATACGAACAAGTCCAGAACAAAGCCAAACAAGGGAAACATGCGCTCCACACACACGCCAAAGAAAACAAGCACAAAAAGGTTTGAACCAAGCTGAGCGCAGCGGCCAAACTCGGGATCATCCAGAATCTCGTGGATGGACAGCATGAAATACTTCCCCAATTTCCGGGGGTTGTAGGACAATTGGATCTTCACCCGCTGCTTGCCGGACTTGCTCCTCGCACGAAAGGCCCAAAATGCAAAGCTGTCATCCAGAAGCAAGTCAAAACTGCGTGCATTGTCTATGCCTGTTCTGATATAAACATGTTTTCACTTCTTTATATGTGGCTGGATGGAGGTGCTATCCCCACAAAATCTAGGCGCTCGCGAGTTTTCAAGCTCCGGCAAGTGAATGTTGTTTTGCTTCAGGCAGTCTCTTTCAATATATATTTATGTATATTCCCCTTCTAAGCGTAAAAGTTGCCATGAAAAAACTGCCAGACGTACTTTCTGGTATTGTTTTGCTTCTCATGTGTCCGAACAGTTGACCTGTACTTGTTTGCTTCTACTGGGAAAAGAGAGAAGTAAAAAGGAGAACTTCTGGCCTCATGAAAAACATTCAAAAAAAGTAAACTCCAAAATTGCCAAAAGTAAAACTGTAAACTTCGGGAAGCTGTGCGTGATGTTTCCGAAATTGTCCCACAATCCCTGTCGCCAAACGCAATAGGCTGCGCCTGCCACACAATTCCTTCCGTCTCTATCTCCTTCTTTGTATTTCTTCTTTGTGTTTCTTGCTTACTTTCTCTCTTTGTTTGCACGACTCTAGCTATTTTCAACTTTTCGAGTAGCGTCTTATTAAGCTTCATTGAAGCCCAGGCTGTCCGCTTCCTCGTGCCAGTTTTCGTGAAACATGGAAGGGAAAAAAGCGAGCGAAAGAGGAAGAGAAAGAAAAAGAGGAAGAGAAGAAAAGACACGAGATGCTCAGAGAAGAGAAAGCAGAGAAGAGAAGAGATGCTCCAAGCAATTGATTTCCTATAGGCGCATGATTGGCTAGAAACTGCCGTCTTCCAGCTTTCTTGGAGCATACCTAGTAGAAAGCAAGGTCAATCGAGAGTCTACACTGCTTTTGCCACGCCAAGGCATTTTTTAAAGCACCCCCAGCAAACCAAAATAAACACGTAAAACTCCCCAAGCTAAGACAGTTTTAAGTCAAAGTAAATTCTCTCAACCAAGGACCCTGTGTGCAAGTGGCAAGGCACACCGGGCAAGCCACTCCGCAGACGTCACGTTGCGTAAGTTATTCTACGCTCGCCATTTTGTGCTTGTTCGAGTTACGCTGAGCAAGCCCCGCTGCGCAAATTTCAAATTGCTCTGCGTCTCTGCTCAAGTTACTTTGCGCAAGACACTCCGTGCAAGGCGCTTCACGAATGCCGCTCTACGCAAGACACTCCGCGCAAGTCACTCTTTCGCAAGTCACTTTGCGCGAGCTACTATGGGCAAGCCACCCGCCGCAAAGCAAGCCACTCTGCAGAAGCACCTCTACGACTGGAGACGTGCCAGCGGCTGACGGCGCTCGCCGCCCCTTTGTTTGATCAGCGGGTCATCATTTCAACATGGAAACGGCGAGCATTGCGCCTTCCGTACCACTTGTTGGAGACAACGCATTGGTCCCGAACACTGGTGGAACCCTCACCTATCAGGGCACGCGTCCGACACCGGTTCCCAGCTGGCTGCACAGAATCTACTCAGCAATTCGACCCAGGAAAAGCTCGTTCGCTGGCAAGAACACAGCTACAAGGTTGCTCGTTAATGGATGCAAGTACTGCGCCATGTGCCCTGTAACGTTCCAGAGTCTGGAAGGCACCAAAGTTATTGGCGCTGCGTCTGATTTGTCCGGAGCTTTTGACACGCTTGCGCTGGGAAGCGATGGAATTTTGTGGACGCTGGCTGAAAATCTGAAATTCCCTTCGGCTATTGCTGCAGTAATGAAAGACACGCGCAATAGCCTGAAGCGCTGATTCAAATTCAACGGGTTTCTGGGAAAGCCAGTCTCTCCTCATGGGCTGCGCGGCGCCTTGCTTTCTCTATGACAATGATGAATATTGCGGCCCTAACATGGTCCAAACCCAAGCACGTGGCGTCGACGCTTGGGCCAAAACTCTTTTGCCCTCAGAGCGTTTCTTCAGGGCGCAGACAAGGCGCGGCTTGGCGGGTATGCTGATGACTTTCATCTGGCAGGCTGCAACCACACTGCTACTGGGGTAAGACTCACGAGTCATGATCTAGCAGTCGCTAGCGGCGTTGCTGTAGACGTTTGGTCCTGACTTAAGTCTTACAAAGGCGAGCTTTTGTAGTACCTCACTTAGTAGTCTTGCCAAGCCTTAGGTGAACTTCAAAGTCCGTAGATGGCTTTGTCCAGTCGGCATGTTTTGTTGTGGACATAGTTCCCAAATTAGGTGGCCAAACGTAGGTGTCACGTTGTTTGACCTCGGTCTTGGCATGTATGTAGAAGTGCTGTGGAAACATCACCGAGTCTCGCAACCCAATTTGGTCATGACATCTGTAGTGCGATAGTGTTGCGGGCATTGGTGTAGAGGCCTAGGTTTTCGCAGCGCAACACCTTGCGACGATTCTGCTTCGTACAAATTCGCCGAGTAGTGTCGCGAATGACGGGTCGCAAGTGTTGCCAAGGGTTGCCAGTGACCTTGTTCAGTGGTGCGAGGTCGTACTTGAGGTCCGGTTGTAGCTGGCGCGTTGCGAGGTAGTTTTCTCCAGTTTCAGAAACTCTTCCAAGCCAAATGCATTTCTGCATTCAATGGTCTGCTTTTGGTAGTCCATTGTGTTGCGGTTGAAGGTGAAAGTAGTGTTTCTCGCCGAATTCGCAAATTGCGCATTCGTAGTTTCATAGTGTAGCCGTCGGAGTGGACGATGTAGCGACTGACTGCCCACGCTGCTTGTCATAGACAGTGCTTTGTTGACATTGTCATGCTGTAGTTGCTTTCAGCTTGCGCTTAACGACGCGTATCTGTCCAAGAAGTGTTTTGCGCAATCGTTCAATCATCGGACGCTGTTGCTTTGGGTAGCGCGTTTATCGTGTCCTCGTCGATGTCGCTTTGTGCACCCAATCGCAAAAGTCAGTACAATCTTGGGGCCAAGGCAGAATCTGCATGGGACGCCACGCATTCAGGAAGTCAAACAAGTCAGTGAACCGCGAACCCCAATGGGACGCAGCATGCGAAACATACCAAATTGCGAATGGAAACAAGCGTCTGGTACCGGCAATGCCCATGGGGACGCAACATGTAAAGCAAACAAGCGCAGGAAGCGTGTGTATGTTGTAACTGTTTCCAAGTTGAACGGACTCTGCTTTGAGACCTGAATGCCCTTTGCAGAATGCAACCGTGTGAAAGGGTAAAGGGTGTGGCAACAGGACACTCGGAGACAGTGCGCAGCTGGCTATTTGCCCTCCTCACTTCTTCCACACCGCACTTGGGCGGGGCACGAACAGCAAGTCTTGGGTAGCGCAAACTCCTGATTTGCAAAACAAGTTGAACGAGGTAGTGAGGGAGGTGGTGAACGAGGTGGTGAACGAGGCCCAAACTTGTCTTGGAATGGGCGTGGTTGCTTTGACGACAGCCAACGCTGAAAGAAAAAGAGGCAAGCGTAGCTGCGCAAGGAAAGCGCAGACCTATGCAGGCAGAGCTGCGCAAGCAGAGCTGCACAGGCAGAGCCAATATCAAATCCCATTGGGAAACGCACATCGAGCATTCAACGTTTCCCGGGCGACGCTTGGGATTTCAATCCAGGATCCAATGCGAAACACAACCTGGACGCAACATCGCTGGGACTTCCCGGAAATCGAAACCCACTGGAACACACACTTTGAAACACCAACGCATCGACTTCTGCGACAGGGTGTAGTATGCCTTGTGTCCTTATGCGCTCAAGAACGAATGCTTGTAGGCTGTTGACCATGCAGTCCATCATTGACGCCTTGTCCGGTGCCAGTTGCGTAGTGACATCAATTGCTGTTAGAACTGGTACGGTCTTCGAAACTTGTTGTCTACTTGATCACTGGGTTATAGTGCTTGTTGCTGCTTGTGCCAGCTGCGGTGTCAGGTAGGTGTGTTACGTAGAGTTCTGCTATTTGCTGCGGCGTTGGTTTTTGCGGTTGTCGTAGTCAACCTGCCCTGCGGTGTTCGTAGTGTTGTTTTTTGTTGTGCCTTTTTTGTGGATATTCGTAGTCTTTCTCGATGGTGAATCTTGTGGCACCTTTCCAGCGAAAGGGCCCGCGTGCGACTGTCCAGTTGTCTTTCCCTTGCGAAACTGCACCGAAGCTGTTGTCGTTACAGATTGTAGTCCTACAAGGCTCAAGTGTGTTGATGGGCGAATGTCCTGGTCCATCTGTAGGTGTGAAAAGCGTGTTTCGTACTGGTTGCGCGGTGACTTATCCAGTGTTCACCTTGTCTTTCCCAGTAGTCTCGGCAGTCTTCTTGAGTTGTTGGCGGTCGATGTGTTGTCGTCTGTGGTTGTGTAGCGTCGATGCCTGTTGAAGGTGCGAGCTTGGGTCTCCAGATCATTTGCTGAGTCCGTAGTTGAAGCTTTGGTCTTGTTGGCGCTGTCTTCGTTGTAGTTTGTGGCGAAGGGCTTTGTCGTGTTGGTGTAGTCTTGGATTTTAGCCAATGTGGGGTGCGACTCTTCTTCCAGCCATCACCTTCGAGTCTTCTTTGCCGCTCTTGTTTGCGTGTCTGGTGTTCTGTTGTAGTTGTTCCAGTCATCTTGTTGCGCTTGTGATATTGGGCAACTGCTGTTGTGTGAATTAAAGGGTGCTTTGCATGGTCGCTTGTGGACTCGGACGGCGTAGCGTTTTGATGGTGCGGTGTCGCGGGCTGAAACCCACTCCATATCCTCTAGCAAGTAGTAGGGTCTCAGTTGTCCTGCTACCCACGAGAAGTTAAACTTTGGACCCGGAGAAAAGCGATTTGCGTGTGTGTGTGTGACAAATGCTACGAAACGCCACGGCCGCATAGACCGTGTTCCATGTAGTTGGCGGCATATTCGCAGTCGGTTGTCGCTCCAGTGTATATAGTCATTCCAGTCCTCCTCCAGGTGGTCTCCATCATGCCCATGTCCATCTTCTCCCTCGTAGCACACAATCAGTTCCTCCTTGCCTGGTCTTGCTTGGGCAGTCGTAGTTCTTCTCCTTCTCCTGTGCGCCAGACCGTTTGCCACGTCTGCGGGGCCCACCGCTACGAGGATGATACTGGGGCATCACGTGAATCAACAAGCACAACATGCGTCGTACCAAGCTGTTGAGGATTTAGTGTAGGTCTCTTGCAAGGTCTAAGGCTTTTGTAGTCTGTGTTCTGAGTCTTCAATCTGTCTCGCAGCCACTTGTGCCAGTGGTAGCGCCTAGTCGCAGTCTCGGTCGACCAGTCCAAGGTACGCTTGTAGCTCGAAGAGCCTTTTTTCAAATTGTGTGTAGTCGCACTTAATAATGAATGGCGGTGGCATTTTGTTTGGGCGTCACTGTGACGGTGGAGCAGCTTCATGAGAAGCCCCTTCTAGTGTCAAGCCGCTTGTGGCGCCGGCAACCGTGCTTCCTGAGGAAGATCGTGGGCTCCAAGGCCTCTGAGACAAGACCCTCGCCCCTTTGGTTGGGCTCCACTGTCCAGCACGGATCTCAATCGCAGAATCTTTCGCAGGGCTTTCGAAACTCCTCCAAGCAAATTTGCCCGGATGACAAGTGTGATGCGCAGTGCTCGTTTGGTCAGCGCATCTTTGGGCGGGGCCAAACAAACTGGTTGATGAAGGCAGCTATCCTTGAACTCAGGTGACCAAGCGACCCATCAGCGTTTCGAGTGGCCCGGGGTGACGTTGCCCTTGCCAGACAGCGGTTGGGAACGGTTGGTCCGCGCTTGTCATGCATGACTGCATGGCAGCACGCGGCCAAAGACATGTACACAGCGACCCATGAACCTTTTCTCCCTTTTGCCAACAAGGCAACGCGGAAGCCCTGCAAGCGAGCACGCAGCTGGCAACCCTGCGATGAATTTTGCTTGAAAGCCGGGTTCGCATTGCAAGTCTCCCTAGCTGAGCAAGAACTGCTTTTTTCTGTGGGTAAGTACTTAGTCTACATAGGTAAGTACACATACAACTACCTTCATACATGTGCATCAGAGTAAGCCAGCTCAACAACATAAAAAGAAAAACTATGTCCAACATGTTACATGTCAAAAATATATCCGTGTGTATATGTCAGCGAAGTCCAACAAACACAAACTAAGCACGCGCCCCTTCAAGCAGAGGGTCGCGCGGCGAACGGCTCGAAGCAGCGAACGCCCATCAGTTTTTACTCTCAAAATAATTATTTAGTGAATATTAGCAAATGAAATAATAAATGGGAATATTGAATTAACACGGTTTTGCAAATGAAATTAGTGAATGGGGGAATAGTGAATGGACATACGCCGAGGTGACTAGGTCCAGGTGAGTTGTGCTAAGCAAAGCAAAGCGCAACAATGTGTATATGCTAAAGGGAAGCCCTCGAATCGATTGGCCCCAAGTCTGCCCAACGCAGCGCCCGCAATTTCCATAAGTGCCAATTCACTAATTTTCACTAATTCCATTCACTATTCCCGAAAGCATCGTGAAGGGTTGTTCCGCTGGGTTCACTTGAGTTGTTCTCATGAGAGTCATTACAAGGTGTCATTGCAAGGAATCATCATCATGAAAGTCATTGCAAGGAGTCAGTCATTGCAAGAAGTCATTGCAAGGAGTGCATTGCAAGGAGTCGTTGCAAGGAGTCATGAGAGTCATTGCAAGTTGCAAGGAGCCAAGTGCATGGAGTCAAGTGCAAGTTGCAAGTGCGCGGAGTTCAGTGCAAGTTGCAAGCGCAAGGAGTCAAGTGCAAGGAGTCAAGTGCAAGTTGCAAGCGCATGGAGTCAAGTGCAATTTGCAAGTGCAAGGAGTCAAGTGCAAGTTGTCAGGTGCAGTTGACTTGCGAGGAGTGAAAATCTCTTCTTAGGGCGGCGGGGTAGTGCCGACGACACTCTTCGAAAATCAACCCTCTGCGGGGATCGGCGTGGTCGAGGTGCAAAAACTCGAGTTTGTTTTTGCGATTTTGTTTTGGCCCGCGCGACCCTCTGCCGGGATCGGCGTGGTCGAGGTACAAAAACTCGAGGTGTTTTGCGATTTTGTTTTGGCCCGCGCGACCCTCTGCGGGGATCGGCGTGGTCGAGGTGCAACAACTCGGTTGTTTTTTGCAATTTTGTTTTGGCTCGCGCGACCCTCTGAGGTGCAAAATGTTGTTCGAGCTGGTCCTCAGGAGTTGTCTCGTGGTTCGCACGCCTGCTCCTGGGAACGGCGGGTCGCGGGTTCGATTCCCCCCTGGTCCGCGGGCGGGCTTCACAAGCTGCACGGAGCAACTTGCATAGAGCAACTTGCGCAGAGCAACTTGCACAGAGCAAGTTGCACAGACCAGTTTGCGCAGAGCAACTTGCGCAGAGCAACTTGCACACACCAGTTTGCGCAGAGCGCCTTGCCTAGAGCAACTTGCGCAGAGCAATTTATGCGGAGCAACTTGCACAGAGCAGTTTGCACAGAGCAGCTTGCACAGGACAACTTGCAGGGAGCAACTTGGCCGGAGTAATTTGCACAGAGCAACTTGCAGGGAGCCACTTGCAGGGACCAACTTGCACGGAGCAACTTGCGCGGAGCAACTTGCACAGAGCAACTTGCACAGAGCAACTTGCGCAGAGCAACTTGCGCAGACCAACTTGCACAGACCAGTTTGCGCAGAGCACCTTGCCCAGAGCAACTTGCGCAGAGTAACTTGCGCAGAGCAACTTGCGCATGTGCCAGGCCGGGGCTAATCAAGTTGGCCGCGCGTGTGCCAGGCCAGGAAAAAAGAACGCAGCGTTGGGCCGACCTCGCTTGCGATGTAAAACTTTCGGGCCAACCGTGGTCTAGTTTTGTTCACTAACTGCTTGCTCAAGATTGCAGTCTTTTCAAAAGGAAAAAGCAAAAATCACTAACCTGCAATAAACTTCACTAAATTTCATTAAATTTCACTAAAATGTTGCAAGCCCTATTTAGTGAAAATTTGTCACACTCAGTGAAGTTTAGTGAAATTAGCAAAGTTTCCGAAATTCAATGAAATTTGAGGAAAGAGACTCACTAAATTTCACTACATGTCACTAAATTTCGCAAGCCCAATTTAGTGAAAATTAATGAAATTTAGTGAAATTTTAGTGAAATTGTATGAATCTCTTTCGAAAAACCAATTGTCACAAAGGTTCACTAAATTTCATTAAATTTCACTAAATTTCACCAAATACACTGGTGCGCGTTTGTGCTTGCGCAAGTGAGCTCGTGCAAGTACGCCCGTGCAAGACCCCTGCAACTTTGCTCGCGCTAGCGCGCCTGTGCAAGTTTGCTCGCGCAAGTGCGCTGGTGAGAGTTGGCTGGCGGTTTTCCGGAGCCCTTCGCGGTGCTTTCGGGAACGAGCAGAACTGCCTTACGGGTTCCGCTGACAGCAACCCGAACAGCGGCACCAAGATCGAAAATGCGATTCCGCGCCATGGATGGTTGCCCCCAAGTCTGGCAAGCCCTGTTGGTCGCCTGTGCCACTTCACATCAATATAGATCAGCTCCGGGTGGTTTGTCGCCACGAACATATCCTTCAACCACGGCGTGCCGCAGTGCAAGGCTAGCTCGTGTGACTTCGCGGTGTAAACCTCGGCCCCGTGGACTGTATTTTGTCAACTTGTTTGGTCACTCAGCTTGAAAGAAACCGCCCCTTGCTTTGTTGCAGGAACCCAAAGGAGCCGTGCAAACAACACACCCGAACGCGTGGGGCTCCAGCGCTTCAGATGCTGAGCAACGGTGACTCCGGATTGGAGATCGAACGTGAACTCCAGCTTCTTGTTTGCAATCTTCTTGTTCGACACCAGCCTGCTGATGTCGATCACCAGCTTGCCCCCCTCTGTCTTGACCTAGCGACTGTTGCAGCGATTGCAAGAATCACGTTGTTGAGGGCCCAAACAATAAGAAATACAAAGGGGGCTTGCGCATCTAAAGACTGAAGACGTGTACCTTTAAATCGGTTCCTTGTTGACAGGATTTTGCCAGGGCCTGACCCAAAATACCCGAACCCTAAACAACAACCCCCCTGAAGGATCAAAGCCTCCGCGCGCCAATCAAACTCAAACCAAACCGCAACCCTCACAACCAAGGGTCCCCGAAAGCAAGCCCTACTGCGCTTCTTTTTTCAAACACCGCTCAAAGCGGCCCCAGTCACATTCTCCGCAAACATCATCTTAAGCGGAGACAGCGTTCTTTTCAGTGTGCCTCAAGAAACATCAGGTGGACTTTGGTCATTTTCTACCTTGACATTCTCGGCGAAAAAATACCAGGCGATTGTCTTCATGACCCAGACAAACAAGTCGCTCGCACAAGATGTTGTAGATCATCAGTCTAAAAGTACTCCGTCTGCAAGCTCTCTGAGCGGGGTGGAGAGTGAAAACTAAGAAAGGAGAGTGGAGGAGAGGACCGGAACGGAGCGACAGTGTGGAGTGGAGTTGCGTGGTGGAGCAGAGCGGCGTGGCATGGGGGAGAGGGCAGGGTGACGGCGCTCGTGTGCCCTGGATCTATTTCAGTTAGGATCCTGTTGATGTACACCTGATTACAATGGCTGTCTCTGGGAATAGATATGTAAATACTGTAAGCCCGCGAGCGCGCACGAATTCCCAATTGGATTTTTCTTCTGGCAGCTGAAAACGGAGGCTAGGCTTGCCCTTTGTGAAACGATCGATTTCCTCGCCGCATGTAAAATAGTTTTGTAGACGAGGGGGTTGGTATCGCAATAAGTCGATGAGGTCTCGGATTTCGCACTAGCCTGCGCATGCATGTCGTGCACTGTTCCACACCTACTTCCGCCCGTAATTCTCACTGACCTTGTCATAGTGCTTCTTCTGATCCCGTTGGTGCCAAGTGTTCTTCTTGCAGTGATGGCCCTTTGTCTTCTGAATGTTTCTCTGCGTGGCTCCGGACCGCTTATGGATGTGTACCATCAGCGGCTGTTGCGAGTCAGCGTCGCACTCTCGGTCGGAGCTCTTGTTGCTCTTCGGTCTTTCCCCAGCCGAATACTCACGTAACCATACAGTCAGGAAAGGTTCGATCATAGTCTGAAGCTGTCGAGGCAACCAGTAAGTGGCAATGCCGTTGCACCATTCGACGTCATTTGATCATTCTCTTGGCGATACAGCTTCTGGTACTTGCTGTAGCTAGAGATCGCATGGATTGATGGATAGTATAGGAAATCTTGTTCTCGGATGGATGTGGAATACTCCAATTCTTGATATGGATGGTGATGATCTCCTTGTTCTTCCCGCGTGCCTTGATGGATGCGAGCAGTACTCAAATGGCAGGCTGCCTACTTTCCTCTAACTGCGCAACGGCCAGCCTCTCTCTCAAAAGCTTCGCCTCCTCCGTGTCCGTCAAGCTCCATCTGCCTGGCCCATCACCTTTTCCAGGAATCCGTTGCCGTACCACTTCGTGAGGCTGTCACTCACCATCTCCTTGCCTGGGACACAACGCAGAAAGTTCTGGGTCCCCTTCTCCATCAAGACTTCTCGCAACACCGCAGCGTCGATGCGGATCTTCCTGTCCGCCGTGCGGCGCTCGCTGTTGAGCAAGTCGGACCCCGTCTTGGCATCGATGACCAGGTAGTGCCTCCACGAACTTGCGTGCCATTTCCAGTTTGAAGGTGGGCTTCAGCAATTCCGCCGAAAGCCGCCGGCACCATGCTCAACTCCGCGCTCATCAAACAGCGCACCACCCGGCTGATCTTCACGCTCTTTGCCTCGATGACCGCCACAGCGCCCTCCCCTTCCAGCACGTCCGGATGTGCCAGCATTGAGGTCACACCGCTGTGCATGAGCTGCATCACTGGCAGAGATGCGGCGCGCCAACTGGTTTATAAGCTTAATGGCCGATCATCTATATGGACATGCGCGAACGATGCTGGGCTCCATGTTGGGACAAGTCAATTGGGCGGCACGGCAAGGGCGCTTGCCAGCAATTGGCAGGCTTGGGAGAAGGAAAGGCAAGTTTGATAAGCTACAACTTGCTGAACTTTGTCGCTACGCTGATGGGTCGGACGGTGCGCCATGAGGATGTGAGCAGCGCATTCTTGCAGAAAAAGCCTCTTCCAGCTGAGCGAGAGGTCTATGTCAAGTTGCCGCAGGGCTACCCCGAGTGTGTGAACGAGTTGATCAAGGAGAAGCTCGGTGCCGAACAGCACGGAGCTGCGGGCCTTTGGGCTTCGTGAGAGTCCACGGCTGTGGTACATGGAATACCGCAATACGTTGCAAGAGATCTCCTTGGAGCAGCTGTCCTTGGTGCCGGGGATGTTCAGATGCTTCAACAATGACGGCAAGTTGCGTGCCATGGTGTTGGCGCCATCGTCGAATAGGTCCCTGCTTCCAAATCCAGATGACCCATCTCGCCCACAATTCTGCCTTCTCCACTTGTCGAGCTCCTCTTGCGCATTTTGGAGCGCGTTGGTGGTGAACTCTCGTCCGCACTGATCTTTTCCAACAGGTGAGACTTCAGCTTTGTTCGCAGTCGCACCCATACCTTGCGTGCAACTTTTGATCCTGCTCCACGCAGACCGGAGCGGGTCCCGTCCAAGATGTGTCATCCTGGATCCTTGTCGCCAATCCCTTTCTCGACGGCGCCGTGCCTTCTCGAAGACCCTCGATCCGAGGCGGTCTCGACCTTGAGCCAATGAGAGGCCTCACCGCCAAAGCCCATACTCGTTCTGCCCGCCTCAAAGCCTTGTTCTGGAGCAACTCTTCGTTGGCCTTGAACTTCATCTTCCCCGAAGCGATCTGAGCCAACAAAGATGCTGCCAGAGGATTGCTCCGGCCGCGATTCTTGCTGGACACTGCGGCCCACGCCGTCTCCTCCGGCCTGATGCGGGATCACATCGTGCTGCGCCCCCCACACATCGTCAAGTAGATAAAGTCATTCCCCGCAGTTGAGGGGCCAAACGCATCGCACCACTTGACTTGTGGAGCCCTTGCCGTCCACTCCAACATGGGGTCAAACATGAGTTCGCCAACCTGGTAATCCGTGGTTTGTCGATGAAGTGGACCGCGGTGTAGCGCACCTCCTTGATGTTCCACACGTGGAAGCAATCCCCGGACAGCTTCTGGTTGAAGTTGCTCGGCTTCTAGTACGACACCTGGGGGACTTGACAGTGAAGACGCCTCGCTCCTTCCAACAAATCTAAGCCACCACCCAAGAGCCAAGCATGCTGGCCAATCTCTCATTGGACAAGTGGCCTAAAAGCCAAACACAGCTGAGCTAGACCACTGACCACCGCAGCAAAGCCCGCACCTCCTTCGAAGGTGATGAAATCATATCGCTCTCCATCTGCGCCCAGCTTCTGCGTCTGCTGTTTCAATGCCTTCTCCGGCGTGACGACCTGCGCCGCAAACCACCGTGACCCTTGCCAAGGTTCGTGAAAGCATCCCGGCTGACCCGGAGTATCCTCGTCCGCTCGTGATGCTCTGGACCACCCAGCTTGCCATCGCCGGTATCCACTCCACCGCCAACTCTGAACGCCTTTTTCGACAAACACGCCGTGGCCCGTAAGGCAACGCAGGATGAAGGTAGCTCTTGGCTAAGTTGCTTTTCTGCCGACAGGTCGCGCCTGCCACTGAGCCAAGCGTTGCGCAGCAACCTCTCTCTCTCTCTCTCTGCCTGTCACACGCGCAGCCGAGCTCCCTGACAAAAACATGTTTGGGGCCTAGCACAACCGTAGCGCACGCATGGCTCGGGAATTCACGACAGATACTGGGACGGGTAAGGCCCCTGCAGTGTAGCCAGCACACGGTCTTGACACAGCACAGCAGCAAGTCTTGTGTGTGGCTGTAGCGAACTCTGTGGTGGGGCAGTGGAGCGAGTGGAGTGTGGAGTACATGGGGCGCGCGCGGCGCTTGGCGATTAGATGGAAGCAGTGAGTGTGTGGAGCGGTAGCGGTGGAGTGCGGAGGGAGTGGGTTGGGTAGGGAGTAGTAGTGCGTGCAGTGAGTGCATGGAGCAGAGTGGAGTGTGCACTGTGGAGTATGGAGTATGGAGTGTGAAGTGTGCGAGCCAGGTGAGTGAGTGAGTGAGTGAGTGAGTGAGTGAGTGAGTGAGTGAGTGAGTGAGTGAGTGAGTGAGTGAGTGAGTGAGTGAGTGAGTGAGTGAGTGAGTGAGTGAGTGAGCGAGGGAGTGAGTGAGTGAGTGAGTGAGTGAGTGCGCCTGCACGGGTTCCCTGCCGTGAAAAGGCAAGGCTTTCTAACCAGCCACAGCCCAAAAATCAAATCCATCTAGGGGACGCATGAAGCAAAATCTACGGATTGGCAAGAAGAAGTGACGAGTCTGGGGTCGGGAGCCAAATCAATTAGAACTAGCTTCAAAATTCCATGGCATGCTCATTCTTGGGCCGCGCCTCTCGTTGGCACTCCCGCAACTCGTTGCAAGCGCTTGCCGCCAACTGTTTCCCGTCGTTCAGGTCGGGCACCTCACGAAGAGCCGGAATTACGAAACTGACCCACCTCTGCCCGACAAGGTTCTTTTTGATCTGAAGCTTGGGCGATGTTTACGTGAGTCATCAGCCGGAACCGCAAAAAATCGGGGAGAAACCTGCCGGAAACACAACAGGCGAAAACCCAACAGGAAAGCAACAGCAACGTCACTGGTTGCCGCAAAGGGCCATCCGACTGCGTTGGCGCACACTCCCTTCAACCGTGGCTCAACAGACAGAAGCTAGCGCCGGGCAAATCGCAAGCGCAAGCTGAGTGGAGAGGGTGGCGCCGAGAACCAGCTACTTTTTGCCCAATGTTACAAACATGAGATCACGTGCGCTTCCCATGAAGGTGGGCTACCCCTGGTTCAAAAATGCCTTTGCTTAAGCCAAGTCAGCAGTCCCTCTCAAAGGGGTCTACCAATTTGTCAAAACACGCTAAGCTCTTTTTGGCTAGGAGGGTGGGGTGAGGGGGCTGTTACTTGAACTGTACATGGTTGACCCTCACAGCAATGTAGGAATCCCTTGCGTCAAACTTCGTACTGCGTGGGAATGTCACAGCTTGGTATCTTTGCTTCTGCGTTTCGCAGTGGCTTCGCCCACATAGCAGCGAAGCAATAAAGAGACATCAGCCTCCGCGCCTTGTCATTCTGACTGAGCCCTATCTGCGCTACAAAGTGGCCCGGGTTGGCTTCCGAATCCCCGCACTGGTTTCCGATCGCAGAAGCAACTGATAATATTTGCCAACAGTCTACTTCGGCAAGATGCAAAAATGACGATGATGACATCTCAGAACCCGCATTGGCTGGGAGCCACTTGTGCAGTGGCTCAGCAGCCAGCCTTCAACCAGTCCACGATCACCCCGATTATTCCTCCGACGTTTCGAGATCGTTGCTAAGCGAGTCATGGGTGCATGGATATACATCAAGAAAGGCGTCAACGATCAGACATTTCTGAATGCACTAACAGCCGCGACTCGACGAGAAATTGACAATGCGACAGACGCAGCAACCGCAGCATGCGGTGAATACAACAATGTGCGCCGAGAAAAACAGCAGGACTAACTTCCCACTTGCCGACAAGTTGGTCCTTGATGTTCAGAGTGTCAGAGAAAGAGAGAGAGAGAGAGAGAGAGAGAGAGAGAGAGAGAGAGAGAGAGAGAGAGAGAGAGAGAGAGAGAGAGAGAGAGAGGCAAGAGCGAGAGGCAGCCGCGAGACTCTTTCTTTCTCTCTCTCTCTCTCTCTTTCTCTTTCTCTCTCTCTCTCTCTCTTTCTCCTTCTCTTTCTCTTTCTCTTTCCCTTTCTCTTTCTCCTCTCTCTCCCCTCTCTCTCTCTCTCTCTCTCTCTCTCTCTCTCTCTCTCTCTCTCTCTCTCTCTCTCTCTCTCTCTCTCTCTCTCTCTCTCTCTCTCTCTCTCTCTCTTGTCAAATATCATGCTGTACTACTTGTCCCTTGTACATGCATGATGTACATTACCCGACCGCAGGCCTTGAGTCTACAAGGAAAAGAGTGTGTTTGTGACAGCAAGAACAACATTTGCACTTGTAGTAAAGTATCGACTTATTTTAACGTGGTAGCGGAGCTGAGATCCTAAGCATAGGGGAGCTCCAGTAACAGCAGTAAGTGCTACAACTGCACAGGCAACCACATGCCCAACTACTACGACATGTCAGGAGAACCAGCAGCAGCATCAGCACAACCAACTACAGGAGCAGACAACGGGCCCACAGCAGAGGAGACAATAGGAGCCACAACTACGGGAACAACACAGGAGCAGGAAGACGTCCAAAGGCTACACAAATACAAACTGTCACCGCCGTTCTTCACTGGTGACTACTCACATTACGAAGCGTGGCTGTTCAAACTACAAGCATACCTCGGACTCATCGACTGAGACTTCGGCATGGTACTACAACTAGCACAAGCAGCTACAAGACAAATTGAAGATGCAGACATCAGAGCCCACATACGCGACCCTACACAAGCAACAAAAGCAGTTTACCTCTCACGAGATCTACACTACATCCTCATCAGCATCTGCCAAGGTGCAGCAGCTACAGTGGTCAGACAAAACCGCTACAATGCCAATGGATGTGAAACACTACGGCTTTTGCACAACAGGTTCAGCCTACCACTATGAACACGCAGTGTTGGCTACCTCACCAAACTACTGGAACCTACATTCAATGAAGCACAATTTGAAGAACAATTCCTACAGTGGGAGTATGACATCAACAGCTACGAGAAAGACAACGGCGCAGCACTACCAGATGGAGTGAAGATTGCAATACTACTCAACAAGACCAAAGGAGCACTTCAACAACATCTCCAACTACGTGCTGGACAGATCACGAACTACAATGAGATCAGAGTTGTCATCCTGGACTACTACAAGACCATATCTGCATTCTCAAGACCGAGCTCAGCGGTTGGCACAAACTACAATGGTGGAACAGCACCCATGGACGTGGGCAACATTTGGAGGAAAGGAAGAAACTACAAAGGCAAAAGCAAATATGGAGGCAAAGGATCCTACAAAGGAAACAAAGGAAAAAGCAAGTACAGAAGCAAAGGCCGCTACAAAGGATTTGACAAAGGTAACAAAGGAGGATACAACAAGAATGGCTACAACAAAGGAAAAGGAAAAGGCTACGGATCCAAAGGCTACGGATCAAGCAAAGGCTACGGCAAATCAAAAGCAAAAGGAAACAGCAACTACATGACATGCCACAGATGTGGCAAACCTGGCCATTGGGCGCAGGATTGCAGAGTGCCGATTTGGCACATCGGAGAAGGAGAAGAACTACAACATCCTGAGCAAGAACAAGAAACTCAGGACAACAATGAGGAACTACCTCAAGACATGCACGACACTTCGGATTGGTACTACGAAGGAGAAGAAGGACATGGACATGATGTGAACTACATGGAGGAGAGTTGGAACGACTACGACTGGAACGACAACAGCTGGGACTGGAATGACTATAGTCATGAAGGTGAAGCAAACTACATCGGAGGCATCAACGAGTCGCACCTCACCATAGGACACATCAGACAAGGAAGACCGCTACAATGTAAGCACAAACCCAAATCACTACTTGGGAGAAGAGCAACTCATACAACATCATGGAATGACCACAGCACCAATTATCAACAGTACCTACAAGAGGACAGACCTCAACTACACCTCAACATTGCAGCAGCAACACAACAACAGAAACGAGGGAAACTTGACAACAACATCACTCACTACATTATGTACTCCAACTTCAAGTCCTACCACCACTTACTGATTGACTCAGGAGCGTCTACACATGTTTGCCCAAAGGACTACGCCGGATCTTCCACTGCGACTGTGTGGAGAATCAGTTCCACAACTCCACACTGTGACCAACAAGAAGATCCCCGTCTACGGCATCAAGTACGTTCCCTACGAGCAGGACAACCTCAGGATCATGATACCCTACTACGTCTGTGATGTGAAGTACCCCATCCTCGGTGCATCAAGACTACTTGATAGAGGATATGGACTGGACTTCAACCCGAGACACTGCACTATCTCACATGGACAACAACAAGCACAGCTTATTCGACACTCAGGACTTTCCTACCTACGAGCAGAAAAGATCAACATACCTACAGGACACGACATCTACCCAATGACTACAGACAATGGAAAATCCATTGCTGTAATCCAGCCTACGCATGAGACAAAACAACAACAACGACAAGAACAAATTGCACCACTAACTCACACAGACCAAGGACTAAGACGAATCCTTGGTGGAAACACTGACTACTGGAAACTCGATGGTGACTACGCCATCCGAGTCCACAAACGACCACGCAAAGCACTGTTCACACCACACAACAACGGATGCCCAATACCAGAAGAACAACTAGATGATTGGCGACTAACCATCATCAATAGACAAGGGCAAGAACAAGAGCAACTACAAGAGAACACCAAACAACTTTCCAAACAGGAACTACAAAGAAGACTTGAAGGTGATGACTGGACTGGAGAAACCAGATTCCGAAGAAAGTCACATCTACACATAGGCTGACTACAAAGACAGCACCACCACGACAAAGCTCAGCACCACAACCTACAACAGAGACACCTACGACAAAACCAAAACTACAACTACGAACTCCACCAAAGGTATGGGGACCCAACGCAGCTCCATCCATAGAATTAGACACTACGCAAGCAAAACCAACGATACATCGACCACCAACGGCACAAGAAGACAACCAAGACTACTGGGAAAGACAAGGTGAACGCTGGATAAGACATCACGTCACACTACGAACCACATTGTTCACACCTACAGATGGACCAGGACACCCATCAATCAACACTCTCGAACCCTTCCGAACTACAATCTCAAACAACAGCTTCGGCGAAGTCTCACAACGCAAAGATGACCGGACAGTCACGGGCAATGCCGCACTACCATTCCAATGGAAAGGCACAACAAGGTTCACCGTCAAGAAAGACTACGAATACCTCCAAGAGGACTACGACGAAGAGCAATACCACGAACATCACGAAGCACACAAAGCAAGAGGTTTCCGACAACCTCAACAACCAACTCCACAACAAATAGCAGAGCGCAACTTGACACACCTACCATACAGAAATTGGTGTCCAATTTGCGTGCAAGGCAAAGGACGCCAGGACAACTACAAGAAACAACAATCACGACAACCCATCACCCAAGTGGATTTTGCCTACATCAAATCACAACAAGATCCGAAGACCATACCAGTCTTAACGGCAGTTGATGTTACTACACAACTGTGCATGGCGGTATTGGTTCCGGACAAACCATCAATGATGGACTACATGATCAACAACCTACAAGCATTTATCTTTGAATGCGGAAGAACACACGGCATACTACAAAGCGACAACGAAGACACACTCAATGCACTACTACAAGCAACAGCATCTAAAGTCGGCTCAATGACTGTACGACATTCACCATCCTACAGCAGCAACAGTCAAGGAAGCGTTGAGCGACTACACAGAACACTTCTCGGACAGATCCGCGTCGTCAAAGCTCAGGTTGAAAGCAACCTGGCGTTTCAGTATCCACAAAGCATTGTCTGCCTACGACTGGATAATTACGACCACATGGCATGGACATGGGTAAACACACAGGCACCGAACGCCATGGGAAGAAACACAAGCGAACAGTTTGCAATTTGGCGAAACGCAAGCACATTCCACCACAGCGCAAAAACTTGAAAGCCGATCTGCATTGTGCAAGAGATAAGCCAATCGGAAAAAGATTTCAAGGACTGGAAAAGGCTGCGTCGCAACAGAGACAAAGTATAAGCAAGAGGCGATCAAGACGACTGTCCTGACTGGTATGACTATTGCACTTATAAACAAGGTGTGTAGATTTTCTTGGGCGCAAAAGTACAATCATCATTTTGCGACCATGGATGCATAGATCCAGCAGAAACAATATACACAAGGCCCTTGGGACAGCAGATAGCATCGCAGACGGCATCGTTGCCAGACAGATACAGAAAGAAAGGACCAGGAGTACGAAGCCGGATCGTCGCAAAAGGCTACACCGAGAAGATCGAGGACGAAGACTCCGTCTACGCCTCTACACCAATGTTCACGACACTCCGGACACTTCTCGCACTACAAATGTCACGACCAAACTGGATAGCGCGACTAGGCGACGTCTCTACAGCATTTCTACACGCACCCATCGCAAAAGACCGCGACGGTAAACAACGTGACGTCTACCTTTGGCCACCAAAAGAACTTTGTCCACAACAGGACAAAATCTGGCGACTAAAGAAAGCCATGTATGGACTACGCAGTTCACCAAAAGCATGGCAGGACTACCTGGCTGAAGTGTTACAAAAGCTCAGCGTTGTAAGACTAAAGTCAGAACCTAACGTCTACACCAATGCGACTCGCGACTGCTACATCATGGTCTACGTGGATGACCTCTTGGTACTTGGTGACAAGACTACTGTCGACTCCACCTTC